TAAATTAATGAAAATAGATATAACAGTGATTTTGGAGTATCCTACTTACTTAGTGTAATTTAATACTCGAAGTATTCTTGCCAAAAAGGGCACGTACGCACACAGTAATTTAATCTGGTGTCGTTTGAAACATACTTTAGCTAAAATAACAACTTGAACAAGAAGACCAACAATGGGGTCACGAAAACAGTCGAAATTGTGCCCAAATTTGCATAAACAGTTCGTCTAAAAAGATAACTTTAAACTAGATTCAACCAACTTTAATGCGGTCGAATTTTGTGAGTGTTTGATCGCATATTTCTACTCAAACATACCCTTAAAAATATCGTATCTGCTCACTTGAGTTCCGTGTTCATCTTTCTTGTAATTTCCGACTTCTATTTTTAATAAAGTTTGGAGAAATCCTCATCTTTTTGGCTGAAAATCTCGCGCATGGTTCACAGAAGAACTTGGCCCCAAAACGTCAATACATTCGCTTTCCTTTCATGCCAAATTTTCATTGTAGGTGATTCAAAAGCCTCTTCTTTCTTCGCTTTTAAAACTTGCTGTAAAACCATTCTTTGCAACAGTGTCGCCATTGTTCATTATTTTTGAAAAACTTTGCGAGTTTTTGGCCGATTTTCTTGCATGATACACCGTTGAAAAGCTCGAATTTCACGTTCTATTTTCGTATCCGTTGCTAGGTAACCCGATAAACATGTGCTCAAATATCATGCCCGCAAGTTAAGGAGTCATGTTAGGGCGCATTCGGGGGCATTGCCGCTTACCCCCTTGCCAATCTCAGGGTGCATTCGGGCGCATTGCCGCTTAATGAGTTAAAGAAAAATTGTCTGGTGTAAAACGCACAAGGCAAGCGACTGTGGCTCCCACAAGTCAGGTTAATAGCTATTTTTTTGAATTGTAAAATTGCAAAACGCTTCTCGTTACGTATACTAGCAACGCGGTTATTTGGATCAGAATTACGCAGAGGCGAGCGACAAAATTTATCCTTGAGCTACCTTTCACCCCACCTACAAACTACACTGCTAACCCTGTCCCTACTACCCATTTGCTATTGGCATGAGTACTTGGATATGGTCCTCTTCTACAAAATAGTAAATGGTCTGGTCTGGATATCGTTAGTTGAGAGTTATAAAACGCTCAAAAGAAAAAGGAACCCACCTTGGCTAACTGGTGAAATCTTACATGAATTGCAGGTTAAATTCAAAGCGAAGCGAACTATTGCATAATAAATTCAAACAACTGAGATCTCGTGTTAAGCACATGATTGCAAATGCACGCAAGAATTATTTAATTCAGTAGCAACAGAACTTAATTTGAACCCTAAGCGCTTTTGGTCCTTGTTCAAATACGCATCTAAAATATCTAGCCTGCCACAACGTATGACGTTGAAAAGTTCCGACAACGATAACACAATTGCTGCTGACGATCCTAACTCGATTGCTGATCTGTTTAATACGTTTTTTGCTTCTGTATTTCACCAAGACCAAACACACCCAGCAAACGAAACCACAATCACTGATGAAAACTGCCTAACAGATATTGAACTCACCGTAGATGATATTCTCCCTTTACTACATTCTTTAAATGAACATAAAGCTACCGGACCTGATGGTATTTCTAACAAGATATTGAAAGAAACTGCCGAACAAATAGCCCCATCTCTGTGCCTACTGTTCAATCTCTCTTTACGATCTGGTTCCCTTCCTGATGACTGGAAGATCAGCAACATTTACCAGTGTTCAAAAAGGGGAAGCGTGATCATCAAACTATCGACCTATCTCTCTTTTGTCAAATATATCAAAAGTTCTCCAACGTTCCGTACTAGTCAAAACAAGAGACCATTTGCTTCACTATGTTAGTGATAATCAGCACGGTTTTATACCTGGTCGATCATGCACAATGCAGTTAGTACAGGTCTTGGAGTGCATTGGCCAACAACTCGACAACGGAAAACAGACAGACATAATTTACTTGGACATGAGCAAAGCATTTGACAGAGTTCGGCATGATGTACTTTTGGACAAACTACAAAATATTAGGGGAAACCTCCATTCTTGGTTCTCTTCCTATCTATGATTTAATGATTTAATGAGATTCGGCTAATATAGCGCCAGGGAGTTCGCCACAGGTTTCCCCAATTACGGCGACCCCATAATTAACTTTACGTTTACAATAATTTTAACAGTCGAAACGAACTAATTTAATACAAAATACAATCGGTGCAAGAGACAACTAACAACAACTTAAAACACCATCAAGGGACCTAGCCCTTTTACATTTAACGCACACAGATTTCCAAGTTCGCGGATCGTCATAGTTATAAATATTAGATAACACGTATTTGTAGTACGTCTTTAGTCCAGATTTGAAAGCTTGCAGGCCAATATGGAGGTCACTATTTAAAACGTTCCACGTTTTACACGCTCTAATAAGATATGAAGACTGGTATGTTACAGTTTTAGCAAAGGGTATTACAAATGTAATCACGTTTTCGTTGGTTTCACGTCTGGTTATTCCTGATTCAGCTATTATTGGTAGAGCACTCTCATCAATATAGGTATAGTTGTTAATTAACTTATAGAGTAAAACTATGTCCAAATATTCATGCCAATAAGTTATTGGTAGTAACTGCAGTTGATGTAATCTAGTTATGTACGAGACATCAGTGGTAAACCCAAGATTTAACATGTATTTTGTTGCTCTTCTCTGCACCTTCTCAATGTCTTCGATTAACTTAATGGATTGTGGGCACCATACTTGGGATGCATAACCAAAATTGCTTATATAATATATATATATATA